TTTTATGGTTTTTATTTGTTCTATTATATTACTTTGATGATTGATCGATAAACATAAAATGTTGCATTTCCTTTATAGGTCGTTCTCACCTTCGCGATATTGAAGGAGTACAGAGTGGAACCAGAGCCAATTTCACCTTTATCCATGAGCGCAAGATCAATCTGACATTTTGCCACGAAAGATCAATATGTTCGTCAAAACAACCATGCTACTGCTGCTTGGTACCTGATAAATGTTTCTTCACAATGGAGGAGTGCAGGGCGAACTGCCTCAAGTGTGACCCACAATGCCCACCTTGATTGTATTTGCTACGTGCATGCATGTACCGATCATGAGATATGGATAATAAAAGAATTGATACGCATTTATATATTGTACTGGCTAAATGCCATGTCCAATCTGGTGTAGTTATTTGCAAGTAACATAATTAAAAAATGCATTTCTTCCTAACGACGATAGATTTAAATTTGTTTTAAGGATATATGCCCCCTCCACATTACTATTGGATATGCATGGGCTGTCCCTGCTACATTTTGGCCTTTCAGGGTTGGTTAGATCAGGGGCGAATCTAGGATATCGTGTCACTGGGGTCAAGGACTAAGCAACGGGGTCAAAGATGTGTTGATTTTCTATTTGAAGAGCAATTTGCTGGTGGATGAAAGAATTTTTAAAGAGTTTTTGGCAAGTTATCGGGGTCAGCTGACCCCAATGGTTACACATAGATTCGCCCCTGGGTTAGATGTGATTTTCAGAGACACGTATAGTCTGCCCGGCCGCCTCAAGGAGAGTGTCACCGCTAATCGTTGTTAACAGAGGCGGTCCTGGTTAGGGATGGAAATGGATGTATGGAAATCCGAATTATCCGAATCCGTATCCGCTAAAACCTATAATATGGATTTTCGTATATGTATTTGTTTCTAATGTGGATACTAAATGAATGTATCCGAATTCATTTTCCAGTATTTTTCTATATCCAATTCCAGATCCGTTTCGACAAAAATATGGAATATCCGACATTTACCCACATTTGAGAAGAACAAAGTATAGTGAATCTATTTAAAAGTTTTCTCTCCATGACTAGTGACTAATTATTTAATTTCAATATTACTAATGATGCATTGAAACTATTTAGTAATATATCTATAAGTAACTTTCAATATTACTTTAATAATATTAATGATATGTGGATTAATTTTATTATTTTTATAATTTAGTTTAAACCTAATATATTAATTTTTTCAAATTTTTTTTTGCTAACGTAACTCATTTTATATAATTTATAATTTCATGAACAATATTATGTAAATAATGATTGAACAATATATATATTAAAATATTTGGGTTTTTGTGTTCTTGCCCTTTACTTTGAAGTGCAATTGTGATTTTGTCCTTGTTTTTCTAACTTTGTGATTTTGCCCTTCACTATGAGCAAGTCAACGCGATTTTGCCCCTGGTCTTTGTGAATTTGCCCCTGTTTTGACCGTTGACTAGGGGCAAAATCGCATTGACTTGCTCGTAGTGATGGGCAAAATTACAAAGTTAGAAAAACAAGGGCAAAATCACAATTGCACTTCAAAGTAGGGGCAAGAAAGCAAGAGCCCCTAAATATTTATTGATAACTATATTATTTTTTATGATAAATTATTGTCTATGTCATATACCTACTTACTTTGTTCTTTACATTGTGTAAAAATTTTGCAAAAAAATGATAAAGCAAAATGGCTAGTTGTTGCCTTCCTTTCTTATTTAAATTTCTTCACTTAACCTATCATTGTATTAGCTATTGTCCATTATAATTTAGTTCACTTTGATATTGATTATTAGAAGTGTACTTTGATTTTATTTCACTTTAGGTATCAACGAACTTAGTAATAAAATTATATTCATCTATTTTGAGTTTAACAATATGCCCTATGAGTTGAATTGATTAAATATCCGAATAAAAATCCGAATCCGAGACATTCGTTTTGTATTCGTATTCAAAAATATCCATACCCGTATTCGAATCCGAATTAAAATATGGTAAAAGGTGACATCCGGATCTAATCCCATACAAATCTGATCTGTTTTCATCCCCGCATGTGAAAACTATGTTTAGATGTGGGCGAGTTAGGACGCCTGCCTCTGGAAAATAAAAAAAATTTAGAAAACAAATAACAGCTTCTATTTCTGTCATCGTCGCTCCAACACTGCCCTTGGCCGCTGCCACAAGCTTCTGCTTCTTCCGACACCGCCACTTCTCAATGCCCCAAGGCCTGTTTAGTTCCACTCCAAAATAACAAATTTTTCAAGATTTCTCGTCACATCAAATCTTTGGACGCATGCATGAAGCATTAAATATAAATAAAAAATAAAACTAATTACACAGTTTAGACAAAATCCACAAAACAAATCTTTTAAGCCTACTTAGATTATGATTGGACACTAATTACTAAATAACAACGAAAACTGCTGCACTGTCATTTTGCTAAATTGTTCGGCATCCAAACGGTGCCCAAGTAGAGGCCGGATCCAGTGCCGCCCTTGGCCCCAAGGTCGGAAGGTTCTCGGTGGACCGCCCACCAGCAGCGTTTGAGCCCAAATCAGCGCTGGTTTTTGCACGGGGATTTATTCCCAGTTTTCTTTGCAGCCTTGAGCGTGAATGGTTCACAATGGTCAAGATGTCGTGTCCACCATGCTTCAAGTTTATTGATCTTCAATATCTCTCAGCTGCGTGTACATCTTTAGGTATATGTGTAGATCTAGCTTGCACATAGTGTGTGTGCGTTTGCGTGTGTGTGGTGTGAGTTATGCTGAAGTTCAGATACTACAACTTGTACTTGAAATATTGAGGCATTAAAAAATTCGGAAGGTTCTCTATTGAGGCATTAAAAAAACTTCAAAAGGTTCTCCTCCGTGCTCACCACTGCCGCTCTTCAACGCCCGCAACTGCAACCAGATCTTTTTTTTAGGTCAACTACGGGGGAATCAAACTGATCCCCACCTGAATTTCAATTCCACAGATCCCGGCAAGCCGGTGGGTGGAAGAGTGCAAAGCACCTAATACTGGGGGTTGACCCTTGAAGGTAAAAGAAGTACATGAGAGAGGGAGAGAGAGAGATTACAACAACACTTAACAGAAACAACAGCAACGACAATACAGCAACAAGGGTAATCCTAGACGTAAGCCGAAAGACACCAATCGATCGTCAATTTGCGCCACCGCTGAACAGCATACTCGTCGGTTTCACTGTGGCCATTGTGCCCTGCACCACTCCTCGTAGCTACGCCGCTCCGCTGCTGTCCTCCATCTGAGGACCAACCAGTGGAATGGGGGACTAAGAGTGGTGACGGACACGCAAGCTCAAGATCACCGGACACGGCGACCTCCCTTGAAACTGATGGAGACACCTACAGCACTTCCGGGTCCACGTACCACCATTCAACACCGTCCACGGGGAGGAATCCTTAAAGGGGAATGGCGGCAGCGGTGAAAACACCACCCGACATAAGATTTTCTGGCATCATCAAGGAGAGCGCCGACAGAGCAGAGGCACCAGAGGTGGACACTCGTCGAAAAATCGGCGGCGACCGACAGACAGGGCCAGTCTCACCCAAGAGAGGAGCAAGGAGCAAGGAGACACACACCAAGAGAGAAAAGGGATAGGAGGCGGGTGGGGAGGACAGGGAGAGCAAAAAGTGACGTAATGACGCCTTCAACAACGAAAATGACATCCACAGACGTCGCCGTCGTGGGCCGAAGCAGGGGGCTTTCACCCAGAGATGCAGCCCTGTCAAGCAGGTAGCAGTAGCAGAATCTTCAACGACGCCTCCAAGGAGGGGCATGACACCATGTGTGTCATCGTCGCCGGACCGGAGCAAAACCGGATAAGGCTTTCGCCCAGATTCCATGCCAACCCGGCACGTCGGACATGGCTAGCCACCACCACCGGCTGCAACAGGCCACACTGCGACCAGGCTCCTGTGTTGACGAGGAAGTTCGCTGGTTGACGTCACGGAGGACGACGCGACGGGCTGGCCAGCACCTGAGCCTTAACGAGGAGCAGGAGATGGAGTCGACGACGCCCTGACGGGCGGGCTCAGCTCGTCGTCGCGGCTCGTCGGGGCTCCGAGGGCACTCGGGCAGAGCCTACCGCTGTCGCACAGCCGCCAACGGAGCCGGTGCGTGCTGCAGTGGCTGGCGGCCAGGGTGACGTCCAGGAACGCCACCACCGCCTCCGCTCCACCGTCCGCCACGCCCGGCGCTCGTCCCCGCGCCGCCGGCTCACCCGTCTCCTGGGCCGGAGAGACCCCGCGGCGCAAGGAGTCTGGTCCCGCAGCGGCATCTCGGAGGCCACCTCCCGCAGACGGACGCCGCGAGCAACGTGAGGCACCCTACTCTCCTTATTGTGGCCTCCCGTTGACGGGCATTGCGAGCAACGCGAGGCACCGCGCTGGCCGCTGGGCACAGCCGCGGCTGCCAGCTTGCCGCACGAAGGCCAGCGTGCAAGGCTCAGGCCACATCTGGCCGGGAGCAGGGGCCGCCCACAGCCGCAGAGGCGCGTGCGGGGCAGCGCGGGAGGTGCAGGCTACAGCTCGAAGCCGGACGTGCGCAGGGTCGCCAGTTCCGCGGAGGTTGGGAGGCTCCGTAGGGTGCCCCCGTCCGTCGAAGATCAGATAAATAAACGCAGATAATCAAAACTGACTGTACAAAGTACAATATTGGCTTGTAACTGACAGCAGCCAACTCAACAAAAGAGAGAACAGCAGATAGCTGCTAGTTTCAAACAATCAGAGTTACCTGCTCAACTGAGATGACAAATAAATCTAGTTAAGTGCGATGCATTCCGATCACACTAACGCACAAAATGGACATATAAGGACCACAGAACCCACAAGAGCTCAGAACATTCGATGAATTTCATGACAAGTTACACATGTAATAAAACCTCACAAAACTCTTGCTAGCTTATTCGACAAGTTCGACTCTTACAATCCCGAGGGGGGCAAGGGCAACAAAGCTAAGCAGACTCCGACTTGGTGTACATCCTAACGGCAACAGCCAGGCCCAGGATTGCCAGGGGAACCAAAAACTGGAGGATCTTGATAACAAACTCGGGGGTCTTGTCCTGGTTGTAATGCGGTTGCTTGGGGGGAACATACTTTGTCCTAGAAGGGATCGTCGATGCATCGATTTCACCGACCAAGTACTCATCCATCATCGCACGGGCAGTGCTGCTGTGCCCGACATCCTCGAAATCATCAGTTGCATCCTTGCCTGTATCAGGTTCAAATGGATTGTATGTTACCGCATATCTTTCACAACCTTGGTCAGGCACTGGTTAGCGGTACTGCTGGTATGTAAAGACAAGAAGGCATACCAGTTGAAGACAACAGAACATCATCACCCCCTGGGTGGTCTTCCAAAAACTTCGTCACATCATATACCTATTCCACAGCAAAACACAGAGCTGGTGAGGTTCTTACAGAGAAAAGGATTAAATCAGATTCTACAAACATTAATGACATAGGTGGTGCAATGCCCACCAGCAAAAGGGGCAGGACCATAAAAACAAGTGATAAGAGATAATCAACATTCATTGTGAAATAATGTTATGCGAATGAAAACTTCAGGTTTCCAAGGAAGGCGAAGCAGACATAACAAGTTTCATAAAGGTTAAGTAGCATGTCTTATCTGAAGATAAGAGAACCATCAATCTTGGAAAAAGGCAATAGGAACCATCTATATGTTATATATGATTGGTCAGCAACCCAAGTACTAAACTTAGACTATATCAGTCTTTAAAAAAATTGTACCCCATGGATTAAAATTCTACGCCATCGATTTACATGCTTATATCAATGTGAAGATAAAATAGTGCAGACTTGCTAGTTCAAGATGACGTGTAAGGAGCTTTCCCTAGCAGTACACAGTTGTGGCACTTGATGAACAGAATTCACAATTTAGAACGAGCTTCTGGAAGGGGGCAGAATATATCTAGAGCAAAGAGAATGACTTTAGAAAGTAATGTACTACAAGTCTGTGAACCCACTTATAGCAGAATAATGGACAATCCGAAGTTGATAACATTATCAGCTACTGAATTATTTTGGGGGCAAAACATCTGGAAAGGTTTAATACACATTTCTATCAAGGAATTGTTACTGATGTTTCAATTGCCTCTAGCAAACAAGATGAAGCGACACAAGATATAGTTAATACATTCAAGAGGAAAGATGATGTCTTTCGAAATTAATCCTACTGCAAGTCTACAAACCCACTAAGCAGAATCGTGGACATTTAATTTGATGTCAATAACATTACTGGCTACTGAATTGTCAGGGGGCAGGCAAAACATCTGGTAATATGCGTTTCTATCAAGGAGCTGTTACTGATGTTTCAATGGCCTCTAGCAACAAGATGGAGCGACACAGGGCATGGTGAAATATCTGTCGCAAGGAAACAAGCATTAAATGTCCCAGACAGACAGACTCCCAGTGATGCCATGACGTGAAACGATTAGCTATACACTGCTGACCGCACTATTGGCAATTTGCACAAAGGGATTTCCACGTTACAACGAGACATGATGAGGATAAAACATGACATCACAAGTACAAAGGCGCAGGCAATTGCCAAGTATACCAACTAAACGTGGATGTCTGCTTGCAGATACGAACCAAACACGCAGATTCGATTCGATTCGATTCGGTATGTGGGTGCGCAGGAGCTGAACTGTAAACACCCACAGAGCAGCGCGATTCATCAGCTGACACAACTAGGGGGCTGTCTGACCCTGAATCGGCCGCCCCGAGAGCAGAGACTAGCGCTAGCGCGAGAGTCTACGCGGGAAACAAGCACCGGACCAACCAATTGCGATGGGCTCCGCCGGATCTGCACGCTCGTCGCCAGCATATCCAGAATCAAGAATCCATCTTGGACAAAACAAGCCTGCCTAGCACTAGAAAAATTTAGCAGGGCCCGCAGGCCGCCAATTGGCGTGAACAGGATACGCAAAATCTAATCTTTGGATCGGGATTCGGGGGATCCGATCAACCAAGGGAGCCATGGCTGGCTGGGGAAGGAAGTGAAGAAGAGACATCGAACATCCATCCACCCTAAGGGAAGGGGAAGGGGGAAGGGAGAAGGGGAGAGGGAGATGTATACCTTGCCGCCGATGATGAGCCAGCAATCCTCCTTGGAGTTGTGCTTGGCGACGTCCTCGAGGGTGAAGACCTTTGACATTGCTGCTGCTGCGGCGGCTGCGGCTGCGGCGTCTGGCTGGATCGAGGTCGATGGCGAATCGAACGAGGTGGTTGGTTGCGCGAGGTGGAGGAGACGGAGGGGGGATTTCCTTATAAAACCGCGGCGGCAGGAGCAGGAACGCAATCGAGTCCACCTCCGCCAGCCACAAATCCGCCGATGCCTTCTCTTCTCTTCACTCCGATCCGACTACCCAATTTCGTCTGCTCCGACTCTCGCCACCTACCCCCCGCAACACACCACACCAAACCCCCTCCCTCGCCGGACCCACCTGTCAGTGGCGGCCTGGCCTTGGGTTTTTCTTTGGTTTTTCAGTTCCTATTTCTACTATAAATATATTCACATTGGGTTCATATATTTTGGTTCCTCTTCTTTCTACGATTTGGAGATCCAGCCAGGTCGTTTTGCTTTCATCCTCATCAATCAATCATTACAAATACAATTAGCTATAGTAGGTGGGACCGCTAAGAGAGTGTTATACCAGCAAGCAGAGTCCATAATAGTATGTCTAATTTCACTGGGATTCTACAAGTATTATTGTACTATAGCGGACATTAAAGATTGATAGTGCTTGATTGGAAGTAGCTGCATTGACATTCGCCATGGGATTAATGTACATGTACCATGATTTATATGTGTGGGAGTTGCAAGGAGAGATGAGGTATACATGTCCAATATATCAACTAGTACTGGTCTTTCAAAATCTAACATGAAAAGGGGGAAAATCATGTTGAAGTTTAGTTTCATGTAGGTAATCTATATACCTATTTATTGTTAAAAGGAGAATTTTTTAGTTATTTCTCTACTTTTCTAAGCATAAAAGTCATAACCGGTTTTACTAATTACTAAAAGTAGTAGTACATGGTAAAATAGAGAAAGAGTTAAGCTTAGTTTACTTCTTGTCCGTGATCCCGTCAGCGATCCAAATTTATGACCTATGCAATTACAAGTTAGAGTGGGTGTGTCCGACCACGATATATAGTTTGATTCCGAAACATATTAAAAAATAGGTGACGCATAGTATACGTTGTATTTACAGTGCACCTAAAAATGCTATAAGTATAAGACTGGATTCATGGCGAGTGGACGTATAGCAATATGCTTTGCCATTTTGTTATTTTTATTTGAAAATCTAGATTAAAAAATATATATTTCCATATCTGGATCCTCGTCCAGATCTTGAGTCGACACGAATGAATAAATACGATACAAGATAATGTGGCCGCCGCACTGCCATTTTATAAAGACGTGCGTTGTTCCTGGAATATGGTAAAAAAAAACATCTCATAAAAAGTCATATATGCTATGTGCTTTTACTGTACATACCACCGTACCAAACTAAGGGCGTGTTTGGGACTGCTCCGCTCCATGTTTTTCAGCTCCGCTCCACGTTTTTTAGCCAAACGGTTTCAGCTCCACGCACTCTGCTCCAGGAAAAAGGGTGGAGTTGTGAGAGCACCTAAAGAGGTACTTCACAAACTCCAGTTTTTTGTGGAGCTGCTCCACGATGGAGTTTGTGGAGCAGAGTTTGTGGAGCAGTCCCAAACACCCCCTAAAAGAGAGAGACGGTGTTACGTTCCATGCATGCATCTCTAGAAGCTTCTAGAGCGAGGACCGGTAGTAGATGCGCGGTGGTTGGGCAACAAGCAACATGTACGTTGGAGAAGTACATTTTGGCGGCGATTGACTTGCCGGCGAAACAGAAGAAGCTGCTAGTGCTAGTAGCAATCGGTTGGCTGGTGGCTGCCATGCGCCCCCGGATTTGTGTGCTTCTTTATTCTTGCTCACGGTCGACCAACTAAGGCCTCGTTTAGTTGCGGGCGAAATCGGCGCCGCCCTAGGTACTGTAGCTACAGTAATCACTGTAGCATTTTGTTTGTATTTGGTAATACTTGTCCAAACGATGACTAATTAGGCTCAAAACGTTCGTCTCGCAAAGTACAACCAAACTGTGCAATTAGTTTTTGATTTCGTCAACATTTAGTACTCTATGCATGTACCGCAAGTTTGCTGTGACGGGAAATCTTCTTTTTGCATAGTGCCAAATTCTGGAATTTGGAGGAACTAAACACCCCCTAACATTTTGCAGTGCACGGCTGCCACAGTTGACCTCCATTCCATTGGTAGTTAGAGTTGACAACTTCAGCTATCTTTACACAATTACACACATGTTTTTTACACATGATCGAGCTTTATTCCCCTCACTTTATTTCTACGTCGCAGAATTATAACAAACCGAAGCCTACTCCTTCCGTCAACAAAACAAAACAAAACAAAAAACAAATCTACTAGCGTTTCCTTAAGCTACTCTATCTCAAATTTGTCTATATAAACAAATACTAAAATGTATTTATTCATGATAACGAATAAATATCATTAGATTTATGGTAGAATATTCATAGCTAACCTATCTAATTTGGAGACATAAAATTGATACTATTTTCTCTATAAACGTAGTTAAACTCAAGAAAGATTTGATTTAGTTCAACCCTAAAATTGCACTTTTTTATGATAGAGGGAGTATATCACTACTATATTCAGGCCATCTCTGCCGGTTTCTAATGAGCCGGCATATATTGATGACCCTTTGTTGTCAAGTCATTAGCTGAGAATTCAAAAAATGTTGGGATCCTAATGATCCGGTAATGACGTGTGTACAATACAAAACCCTCCTTCCTCCACCTCCCCCTGCTCCCTCTCATCTCGAGCACACTCACCAAGGAGGCGTCTTTCCTCACCTCTCCCTCCATTGTTATGGTTATTTTCACCAAAATGCTCATGGAATGTCATGGATTTTGAAGGATGGGTTTGATCTTCTTGCTTTAAGGTTAGTAACAAGCATCCAATCCTTTGAATTTGTAGCTTTGTTCAATTGTTTTGATGGCTAGATTCATTGATTCCATGCTAGTTATTTCTCCATTTTAGAGAGCAATTTTCAATTAAATTTTGAGGAAGGCATTCAAATTGTGCTACTGATAAAGTTCATGTGCTAAATGCTCTATTTTAGGTAGGCATTCAAATTCAGTGGGTCGTGGCCACCTCTCGCGTGCCCGCGGTCTACCGTGGAGCCGGCCAGGTAGAAAAACGATGGCTGTGGGGGCGTGGGGGCGTTATGGGGGGGGGTATAGCCCCGGGTACCCACGACGCAAGACATGGGCTGCACTATCAGGTGAAAAGGTCAAGATGGTGGACTAGAGGGGGTGAATAGTCATTTCTAAATTTAATCGCGTCGGCTAACCGAAACAAGTGCGGAATTAAAACTATCGGTCGAGCCAAGACTACACCCCTCTATCTATGTTCTTTAGCACCTTGCAAAGATCCTAATTAAGCAACTAAGGTGGCAAGCTAGTTAGAGCTCACCTATCCAATTCTAGGAGCAAGGTCACACAAACCTATGCTACTAGTATTTTGTACACCAGGGAGCTCCTACTCAATTGTAGTAAGTAAAAGCACAAAGCTCCTAAGCTCACTAGCAATGCTCAATAACAAGACAACCAATGCCAAATTAGAGAACGCAAATACTTAGCTACTCAAACTAAGCAATGTGACTACCAAGGTTACACAAACCAAATTAACCATGCAAGGGAGCTACTTCTATGCTACATAAACAAGAAGGTAACTAGTGAGCTACAAAAGCTAACTAATTACAAGAGCAACTACACAAACACAATGTATATGAAAGTAATTACAAGCTTGTCTAAGGGGATTGCAAACCAACGGAAAGAACAATGTTAACACGCTGATTTTTGTTCCGAGGTTCACGTGCTTGCCAACACGCTACGTCCTCGTTGAGACAAGCTCCAAGGTTGCCGCCGGTCCTCTTGCTAGTGGTGACCCATAAGTCACACTCTCCCACGTGGAGTACTTACCACAAGCTCTAGCACTTGACTCGGCTGGACCACTTGTCGCCCTTCGCATCTCGCTCTACTAGAGTTGCTCTACGCGACTCCCGTGGGGCGAGCACAATGCCCCTCACAAAGCTCTTCGCTGGAGCACTGCATAAGCTTCTTGCGGGCTTCGACGGAGACCACCACCAAGCCATCCAGGAGGTGGCAACCTCTAAGAGTAACAAGCACCACCGGCTTGTAACTCGATCACCTAGTGCCACTCGATGCAACCTCACTATGCAATCGCACTAGAATCGCTCACTCACTCGATCGGATGAACACTATCAAGCTCAAGTGAGTTAGAGGGCTCCCAAACACTACCACACAAGCCACCAAGGCTCTAGTGTGCTTAGCTACCGGTCAAAGGCCGACCAACACTTCTATTTATAGCCCCACAAAAATAGAGCCATTGTACCCCTTCACTGGGCAAAACTCGAGATGACCGAACGCGCCGGTCAGATCGATCGGACGCACCCGGTCCATCGTCCGGTCAACGGATGCACGCCACGCATCACCTCCGTTCAACCACTGTCGCTTGATTTCAACGGTCGGCTGACGCGCGCCAACGGTCAAGTGATGACCGGACTCAGTACAGTGAGGATGATAGGACGCTGCTACGCCTGAGTCCGGTCGTTTCCAGAGAGCTCCCCGAGCCTTTGTTTTGCGACCGAACGCGTTCGATCACAGGTGACCGGACGCAAACGAGCGTCAGGTCCTTGCTGCCTCAGCTGCCGACGCTACGTCACCATAAGTAACATGCGACCGGACGCAGGCCCTGCGCGTCCGGTTACTTCTTCGCCCAGCATCCGATCGAAGACCGAGGCCTACGCACTCTCTGCTGCCACTGACCGGACGCGCCAATCCTGCCGAGGCTAGCGTCCAGTCACTCACAGTGACCCCTTCTAGCCTCTGTTTCATCGCTGAGTTAATCCACATTAACTCTAACTTCTTCTCCTTTGTAAATGTGCCAACACCACCAAGTGTACACCACCATGTGTATGTGTGTTAGCATTTTCATAATCATTTTCCAAAGGATTAGCCACTCAACTTGCCACACCACTCGATCCTAGCAATGATGCAAAGTTAGATCACTCA